TACAGCGTTTTTTCACACCTGCCTAAAACTTTTGCACAGTACTGTATATCATAAAACTAAGTGCACCTGCTGCTGATCCCCTTCAGTTTCTGACACATTAGATTGGAACAAACAATGAAGATACTTGAAATCAAGCAGGGTAGGGGGGATAGATTGTGTTAATTCATAGATGACCACTTGGAGCATTGCAATTACAGGTAACTCTTCATTGCGGCCTATGTGATTCATGCACATGGTGAGCAGAAAGCTGCTTATATGAAGGAGGGTCTGATTGTTACAAGGCGATTAAAGAGGAGATGGCTCTTCTGAAGGTTGGGTCTCTCTGAGAGCAGAAGTCCAATTTGTAATGCTTGATGAAGACGGAGGGCTGATGCAATGTTGCTGATGGGCACAACTCCAGTAGTGGCATATCCAGGAGATAGGCTGCTGATGTTTCTGCCACTCTTGTGGAGTTGGCTTGCATTGGAAGGGGACAGTTTTGCCTTCTGGAAGCAAAGCTTAAAGATTGACAGTATCCATGTGGAGTAACACTGGGGAAAGGGGAAGGCCACACCCTTTAGACGGAATTTGGAAAGCCAGAAATAAATGCTAGTCTACGTGAAATAGTGCCATATGGTCCAGATAAAAAGCAAGAACTTGATAACCATCTAAAGAATGAAGTAATGTTTCCAAAGGCATTGAGGGGGTGGGAAAAAAGGTAGGCAATATGAAATCTTGATTCAAGTGGAATGCCAGGGTTGACTTTGGAAGGAAGGAAATATCTGAGTAAATAACTATTTTGTCTCTATGAAAAAATATGGGAGACTCTCCTTGCTAGGCACGTCCTTCTCCATCTCAGTAAACTAATGTCATGGTCACCAGAAAAGCCACCTTCCCTGAGATAAGATGGACCAGGGCTCAAAGTTTTTGACATGAACATAGAATAAGGGAAAATGGATGCTAGGAGAGAGATTACTAGGCTTTCCATGATTACTAGGCCTTTTCACTAGCAAGTTGGGAAAAACAAAAAACAGAACTACCTGATGAAGCCTTTCCTATCTGATGAAGGAAAAAAGGAGGAAATGGCTGCAAGATTGAGCCAAGCCTTACAATTTATTTTTTTTTAAATTATATTTATTGGGAACTTTACAAACAGTAAAAGACAAATCTAAGAAATAAAAAGAAAGTGTAAGGAAAGAAAAAAGAAAAGAAAGAAACTAAAGGTATGGAATATAATGACTTCTGACCTTCTCTTCAACAGATAATTACAATCTTACAATCCTCCCTCCCTCTTGGGAGGAATCCCTTCAGCCCCTAATCCACATTTTCTTAAAATCATCAAACCCATAAATCATCATATAATTTTTTTCTTCCTTCAGCAAAAAGTCTATATAAGGCTTCCAGTCTTTCAAAGAAGTTTTTGTTGTTTTTTCTGTGACCAAGCAGGCCAGCTTTACCATCTCAGCAGCCTCACAGTTTCAAATGCAAGAGAAAGACCACTATGTGATCTTGTAAGAGGAGAGCATTGTTACTCTATGATGGCAAAAACTTAGGAACCTGGTAGCACTTTTCCAAATAACCAATTTTATTAAAAGGCATCACCTTTCATGAGCTGCAGCTCCCTTCATCCGATGTATAGAGTACCTAGACTGATGTAGGTTTGAAATTGGTGGGAGGTGGTGGGGAGGGGAGGGGAAGGCAGTTTGGTTATGCAGATGCAGGTTACATGTGAGATAAATCCCAAGTATCATGCAATGAACAATTGTGTTAAAAAAACTTGTTTGTTGAGACCTTCTGAAATTGTCTGAAACCTTTTAATATCTGTGAGTTTAACAATTTCTTGCTTGATGGTGCTTTAACATCTCACTTTTCTAAAATCAACACTTGGGGATCTGCTATGGAGTATCCGGGGATGTTGAAAAGCTCTGATATCATCTTTGAGTTCTAAAGTCAAACTTATGTCCATTAATTTTTTTGCGGAGTTTATTCTATTTGTCCTATGTAGAATCCAGAGGGTCATTGCTGGCAGATGATGGCATATATCACATTGAAGGACCTGCACATGAACGGGTCCCTCTAATCTTGTGTGCACTTGTTGGGGCCTTTGATGGTGCTGTTGGTGTAAATGTGGGGGGAAAGCAAATGTCTGGGTTTGTTGCAGAGTCTGGTTTCTATGTTGCCACAATATGATTAACTGATATTGTATGGGATTAAACTACTGTATATATTCATAACAGAAGTTTAACCAAATTTAAGCAGCAATGGTTCCCCTATATATGACACATTATACTGCAAGGCAGATTCAGACATTTGGGATATGGCTTTTAGGAAAAGAATCAAGAGATTCTAAGGCTGTTCAAGGCTGTATTCGTATGACAGGAAGGTGTTTGGATAAATAACTATGAGGAAATTAAAAAGAAGTGAAAAAAAAATTATGCAGGACAGTAATCTCAGGGATGAATATGCTGCATGTAGATGGGAGCTGCTGTTAGTCATGTGGTATCCTTGACAGCAGGAGTAGTTCCTGTCCAGCAATTCTGTAAAAAGTTGATGAAGAAGAATATACATGTTTGCCTGGTCTTGTCTTCACAGAAGAAAATTCCCCTTTGTTTCAAATGGAATTTCTCTGGGTTTCAACCCTAGATTATTTCCCCAAGTTTGGACCACAGATGATCATTGCAATCTATGGAAGAACACCTCAAAGAAGGTTCTCAAAAGTTTTGCTGTTGTGTCACTACAAACCTACTCATCTAATTTCCAGTGTAAGAAATGTAATCCTCAACATTTCCATTCCTTTCCTTCTACGATCGGATGTAAGAAGAATGTGAGTCCTCTTGCTTGTTTCTAAGAAGCAGACTTGAGCTTAGCTGGAGAACTTGGTTTTAAAACCAGGGGCTTAGCTGTTGAATATTTAAAGTAAATAAATTGTTTTACAAGATACCTGTCCTTACTACTAAACACGTACTTACCTGGCAGGGGAGATACCATGATCATACTACTAAACACTCACCACAATCTGTATTACATGGTATTAAAGTTAAGGCTAAATCTTTCAAATACAACTTTTAGGCTGGTTTAGGAGCCAGCATTTCACATCTTAAAAATCATTAAACTGTCATCCCTAAGAATGAATGACTGAATTGGAAATGACTTCAGTCATTCTATTTTTTGCTGCTATCAGACAACATGCTGTGGGCAAAAATAATTATTTCCCAAGCGTTTGCTAGCCTTTTATAATCAAACCATTATCTGAAAGTAAATGTTGGTTTCATTTAGAATGTATAGGCTAAATAGTGAGCGCTTGTATATAATTCACAAATGCTCATAAATATGATTTTAAATGATTTATTAAGCATGGAGCTCTTTTGTAACAACCAACTATACTCTTAGGTTTTAGGAGTTTTTGCACTTAAATTTGGATATTTGCATACCTTCAACATTTATTTCCTTATAGACAAATTTTTCTAAACTTGAAAACAGAGTAAATTCAAGAAATTGTGATCTCTTAGGCCCCCTACCTGCTTTCTTTTGCACTCAAGCTGTTGCTGGTGGTGGAGGTATGCTTGGGTGAGTGGGGTAACTTTGATATATTTCAACTGTTTCTAGTTCCTGTCTTTGTCCAAAAGTATTAGTGGTATCTTGTGATTCTGTGTTTTCTAGGTATCTCACGGATGACTAATAACATTGAGGATTCCATGCAGTCAAAGCAAAAAAGAGGGTAGATCAAATGATTCTTTTCTTAAGTCTCATATGTTGATTTCTCTCTCCCTCTTTCAATTTAACCGATCTCAAAATAAAGTGAAAAAATACTTAAAGTTTAACTTAAATATTGAGAATCATAATCAGCTTTTGAGGGGAAACTCAACAATTCTTGGGTGCAATAGGTTGCATACCATGGAGCTGGTGGCAAATGATTCTGTAATATAAAGCTGGCCCAAGACACAAACTAGGGAGCCAAGAGCTAAGTCAACCTAGGCATGAAAAATTGCATCATACCCCAAAACAGCCAAATTATTTTGGCACGAAGGGGGAAAAAGTAAGCTGTAAATAAGCAAGATTTGTTCTTGCAATAAGGGAAGAGGTGGATACTCCAGGATTATTTGGGGACACACAGAGGAAGCAGAAACAAGAATTATGGCTGCCTGTTTTGTATGCAGTGGAGGATGCACTTTCATAAATGTGTACGTTGATACATGTAAAGGAAACTTAAAAAAATTAGCCCCCATTTTGAAATTATCCAAATCTTTATACTCACCAGTTATCCATTCCCCTGACCTTGTTCTTTTACCATCTAAATCTTCTGAGTAATGCCAAGGGAACTCTAGATCATCATAAAGTCAGTGATTGATAAGCATATCTAATTCTGAACATTAAGCATAGGAAGAGAATCAGTGGACAATACAACTATTTCATGTTGTCATTTTCTTCCTCAAATTTACATTTAGATATATAAGCCTCAGTAGAGTTTCCCACGTAATTCTCCACTTTGATCTTGGACATATTTAACATAACCAGTTTCAGCCCTTGTGGCAAAACCACAAATGTCTTAAATTACTGTTAATGTTATCATTTGTTCTTAATTCCCTTCTACCCAACTTGATACTCCAGACTAGTCTGGTGTTACTACAAAACTTCATCTGGCTCCTGTATGAGAGAAGGGGGGAGAGAACCAAGAACCGAAACCTACGTTTAGTGTACTTGGCATTGGTGAAGTCAAGATAAAACAGGAATGTGCTGGAACAAGACTACCAGTGCTTTGGGTGGAGAGAATGTTAATGAAATTTTGATAGCATGGATTTAAACTGTCTCCAGGAGCCAAGTCCTCCTGGGGTTTTACGTAAGAACACACACACTCTGAAAGTTGCCTCAGGTGCTTACAAAAAATCATTTACTCCACACCCAACTTTCAAGGAGCAATTGTGCAAAATGGTACAACTGGTTCACAGACTCTTACAGAAGAAAGAGGTTGCTATTATAAATATTGGAAATATTTCCAAAAATAAATCTGCATCAGTAGAGGAACAGCATGATACAATGATTAGAGCATCCTTCACCAATCTGTACCCCATCAGATCAAAACATTTGGAGGAATTTGATTTAGGGACTGAGTTACCATGTCAATCTAGGACTGCAGGTGATAACATTTTAGATTCTTGATCCACCATGAAAGTTATTGAGTGATCTTGGGCCACTTATTCATTCTTTCTCACAGTCTAACCTACTTTACACAATTGTTTAGAAATGGAGAGTGGAGAAACTATGTACATTGCCTTGAGGTTCTTGGGAAGAGAAGTGAAGCAAGAAACAGGCAAAGAATGGTACCGTAGGTGGATGGACACAAATTACAATGGTACTTGTTTTTGAGAAGACAAAAAGGAATGTAATCTGGGTTGAGCATCATGACATCATCTTTTACTAAACAAACTGAAGTCATCATTAAAAAAATATATCTTGTAGGGGAGAGTCTCAAACTTTCCAGGGTTACTGTGCTGAAAATGCTTGCCCACCCCTTGAAGAATTTAAGAGAAAAGAAACACCAGGTCCTTAACTAGAATTCTAGAAGTGTGGATAAATCCTGCCTGCATGATACAGAAGTCATGATCATATAAGATCAGAGACCTCATCATGAATTTGCAGGTTTAGAGTGACTACTTTCCTATGGGGCACATTACATTGGTGGTTTCACACAGATTAACCAGATTATTTAGTTTTAGTGAATACATTCAAGCAACTTGACAAGCTTTCTTAGTCTTAATTGTGGTCAGGTTCTTTTGTGGTTTGGCATGTTATGCAAACTTGGTCTGTTTGGTTAATTTATGATTCAATATGTTGTGCAAACCAAGAACATTGGTATATTAATAATCATTTGAAGTGTGTTACGTAAATACAGCCCATATTTCTTCCAACCCATTTATCTCATCGCCAAGACACTGTGCCAAAGTTTGGAAGTATTTGCAACCAAGATGCTTATTTTATTACTTCAATCCAACAAACTGAACCTATACACTGATGCAGGTTTTTGCAGATCTAAACTGTTGTCTTGACACAGCCATCAAAAATATATTTTGATTTGAGGAGTATAACAGGGGTACAAATATGTCCCCAACATACCTTTGTGAGAATATTTAGGGCTTTGCTTTTTTTTTTTAAAAAAGATATTATGGACATAGCGAAATTATTTACTAGACAACTAACCACCACTCAGTGACTGGGATAAAAAAGTTGTTTCTGCAGAGCCTCTCAAGTTTGGCTGACAGCATCATCAAGAGCAAAGAGGGTAAGTTGGGAACAGTAGTGAGAGGAAATGATAGAAATGTACACAAGATTTTTTCCACAGGTACAAATTTAAAAGTGCAAAACAGAGAAAGGGAGAAAAGGAGGCACTTGTTTGAAATTGTCAAAAATGTTTCACAAATA